CGGGACTCGATCCCGGGACTCCAGGATCATGACCTGAGCCGAAGGCAGTCGCTTAACCACCTGAGCCACCCAGGCGCCCCTATAAACATTATTCTTAATGTTTATTTAATTTTTTCTTCCTATATACCATTATTTACTTACCTATCCCCCCCACTATTAGACATTTATGTTATAACTTTCACACTATGATAAACATCTTTGTAAACAAAGCTTTTTAATATTCCGATTCTTTTTTTTTTAGATTTTATTTATTTATTTGCAAGAGAGAGGGAAAGAGAGAGCAAGTGGGGGGAGTAGTAGAGGGAGAGGGACAAGCAGACTCCACTCTGAGCACAGAAACCAGCACTGGGCTCGATTTCATGACCCTGAGGTCATGACCTGAGCCAAAATCAAGAGTCAGATGCTTAACTGACTGAGCCATCCAGGCACCCCTAGATTATTTTCTTAGGTTAGATTTTCAGGAGGGAATTTATTTAGGCAAAAGTATCATTTTTTTAAAGATTTATTTTTATTTATTTTAGAGACAGTGTGAGTGGGGGAGGGGCAGAGGGAGAGAGAGAATCTCAAGTAGACTCCCTGCTGAGTGTGTAGCCTGCCATAGGGCTCAGTCCCAGGTCCCTGAGATCATGACCTGAGCTGAAATCAAGAGTCAGACGCTTAATTGACTAAGCTACCCAGGTGGCCCAAAAAGTAACATTTTTAACGTTCATGTTGCCCAATTTTTTCTAAGGATTGTGCTATCCGAGTAACACATTTAACTTCTTAAGGCTCAGAGGAGTTATAATCTTTCTGCTTTCCATTTCAGGCCATCGCAAATCAACCCTGGGCTCAGAAACTTATGTTTAATAGTCCAGGGTTTGTGGAATATGTGATGGACCGGTCTGTGGAGCATGATAAAGCTTCAAAGGATGCTAAATATGAACTGGTGAAAGCACTTGCCAATTCCAAGACAATTGCAGAAATCTTTGGGAACCCAAATTATTTGAGGCTCAGAACTTACCTGAGTGAAGGTCCATACTATGTGAAACCTATTTCCACAACAGCTGTGGAAGGAGCTGAATGATTTCTTCTAGAGTCGAGACCACTTTTGACCAAAACTTAGGCTAAGGCATTTGACTTCACCTGTATTTTACAAAAGAGAAGCTTCCCTTCCCCCAGCATTATCATGGATTGTCTAATGTAATTATATCACTACATCTGTGGTGTTTCTACATGGAAACACAGTGTGGAACCAGGAAAGCAGGCAAACTTAGTCTTAATTGCACCAGTGTTTTTCAGATTCCTTTGACTGCCTTAATCTTTCCAAGAAGATGGTGTTTTTGTTCCCCCAGTAATTTTCATGGACTTACTGTCTTATTTAAAATTCTGCTTCAAACAGATTGGAAACAAATTGTTTCTGAATTCTCTTTACCACCTATTTTTTTTTTTTCCGTTTTGGTCCTTTTCGCCTTTCTGATTCCACTTTCAAAGTCTTGGGTATAAATATTCTTTGAAAAACAATATGGAATCTTGAAATTATGTTCTCCATACTAAGAATAAATACTTTTAATAAGGTGTCTTTGGGTTTTTTGTTACCATTATATTCCTTTGGAAAATGGACAATAAATCTTTTAAAAATGTTTCTAGTGTTCTTTGCTTTTTTTGTTGTTTATCATTGAATTTTACTCTGTGGTGGTTTGGAAGGAGTGCTAACATGCTAGAGCAGAAAGATTCCCCAAACTCTTGTTTTACTTACTGGTGGATCATCATTGTTGAGGGTTTCGCTTTTAATCTTTCAGAGCCATCGAATCAGAATTGAATTGACCAGAGAGAGACACTGACTCCTAATAACCAGAGTTGGATGGCAGGACACTATATATAAACCAGGATGCCATCGCATTGATTTAACAAAGGATGCAGTTTCTTTTCATTGACCAAAAAAAAAAAAAATGTTCCCACCTGTTTCCAGTGCCCTGCTTTGTAACTGGAAAAGCACTCTGCATGCCAATCACCAATCAGAGGTTTTGGCATGAGAGTGTTATCAGAGTGTGATTCAGAATCCAGAGGTAGATCTCTTTTAAGCCATGGTGATGTTGATAAACCTTTCCCACTCTGTAACAGAATGGTTCTCAAGTGCCTGAATTCTCTTGTCCCAGATTAATCATCTCGTTTCTAACATCTCTGATAATGTTCTGTGGGTGTTTTTGTTTGTTTGTTTCCATACTGATCATTTCTCTACAGCTAATACCACTAATAAGTTATAGGCAAGTCTTTCCTGGCCTGAGAAACATTCTATCTCTAAGATGACTTTTTAAATCTCATTCATAATGTTGATTTTATTCATTTAACATTCGAGTTCAGAGAGTTGCCCTCTCTCCTATGTGTGGCCTACATATTCTGATTTTGCACCCGTGACTTTTTTCTGAGATTAAATAAAATTTGCAAATTATCTTATTTTGCATTTAATCAGTAAACACTATTGACTGCTCATTGTGTGCTTGGCATTGGGAAAAGTGTTAGACATTCTCCTAAGTGCTAAGTTCATCTCGTTTACATTTTTACATCTGTATTTCACTGATGAAGAAACCCAGGCTCAGAGAAATTAAGTAGCTTATCTCAAAATCACACAGGTAGCAAGCAACTAATAGTGGAGGAAAAGAGAAACAAATTTCTATTAGAACTAGAAATAGAACATTAGTGTATAGTAAGTACAATAATAGAGAAAAACAGGAAACACCTACCCTAGACTTGAAGGAAGGCTTCCCAGAGAAGGAAACACCTGAAACTTGAAGAACCAGTAGGAGAGAGTCAAGTGAAAAATAACGGAAAGTAGCAGGGAAAGCAGAGGTTCAGATATGAAAACAAGAAACATTCGGGGAACTACAAGGCATTATGACCAAACCCTGGAAATCAAGAGGGGAAAATTATGAAATTCTTTATCATTATTACTAATAGTAGCTACTATTTCTGCCGGATTGCACACTCCAAAGCTAGAATGTTAACCTGGCTTCCTGGTGGCTAGTCAGATCTGTTACTTGATTATATTTTGAAGATAATAGCAAACAAATGTTTGTGAAGCATTGTTCTAAAAGCTTTGCAGGGGCACGTGGGTGGCTCCAGCGGTTAAGCATCCAACTCTTGATTTTGGCTCAGCTCGTGATCTCAGGGTTGTGAGATTGAGCCCCTGGTCAGGCTCTTTGCTCAGCGGGGAATCTGCTTGTCCCTCTCCATCTGCTTCTCCCCTACCCCAATAAATAAATAAATAGCTTTTCATCTATTAACTTATGTTGCTATCCTTCCTCTCCCAGGAATAAAATACTGTTATTACCCTGTTTACACATGAGGCCAAGGTACAGCAAAATTAAGGAACTTGCACAAGATCACACAGCAAGTGGAGCCGAGATTTGAACCTAAACTGTTTAACTCAAAACATAAATGCTGCCTCTTCCTCTTATTGGACATTTACTGTGGGCCAAATCCAATGCAAAATGCTTGACATATCTCATTTAGTCCATAAGTCCTACAAGGTTGATTTTGTACATAAACTGAGGCTCAGTATATTTTAGTAATATATCAAAAAATAGCTAATAAGTGTCATGGTGGAGATTTTCAAAGTGTATTACTTTGGGAACACCTAAAATCCCGAGAACCCCAGGATGGGAGCTACTGATCTAGTGCCTAGTCTTTATACAAGAGAAATCAGAAAGTGTGTTGTAAGTTGAATTGTGTCCCCAAAAAAAGATAATGTTGGATTCCTAACCCCTGATTCCTAATGTGACCTTATTTTGAAATAGTTTTTGCTGATGTAATCCAAGTAGGATGGGGTCATTTGGGTACCAGTCCAGTGACTGGTATCCTTAGAACAGGGAAATTTGGACACAGCACAGAGGGAAAATTATGTGAAGTCACAGACACACAGGAGAAGGCCATGTATGAAGATGGAGGTAGAGATTAAAGTGATCTGCCTGCAAGCCAAAGAATGCTAAGGATGGTTGTCCACCACCAGAAGCTAGAAAAGACAAGGAAGGATTCTCCCTTCTATAGGCTTCAGGGAGAGCAGGGTCCTGCCAAACCTTACTTTCAGACATTTAGTCTTCAGAACTTTGGGCAAATACATTTCTGTTCTTTTAATTCACCCAAATTGTGGTACTTTCTTACAGCATTCCTAGGAAACTAATAGAGAGTATACATATAACACAAAATGTGAATTTGTTGCATCCTATTTGTAAAGCAGTGTCTAACTAGGACTTGATGAAAATAGCTTTACAAAGAGTTAGAGATCCAAGTCTTTGGTATGGTTTAAGTTAACATATACTAGGTGGTTAATACTTTTAAATTAAGTGAAATTCTACCACCCGATTACTGAAATGTTTCCTGCTTACATCCAAGATGAAAATTTTGTTCAACACATTCCTTAGTGTTTTCCTTCAATTCTGAGTGTTCTCAAAAATCAGTCACCATTGCTATTGCTGAGTCATGACAGTTTCACAGAATATGATGTTTACAAATTCACTAACTGTAAAGAGAAACAAGACTTCTGGTTATAATTAAATGTAATGTTCTCTCATTTCTGGATAAAAGGTTGTATGTTGTTCTTTTTTTGAGATTTATTTATTTATTTTAGAGAGAGAGAGCAGCTTGGAGGGGCAGAGGGAGAGGGAGAAAGAGTTTTAAGCAGACTACACGTTGAGCGCAGAGCCCCACGTGGGGCTTGATCTCACGACCATGAGATCATGACCTGAACCAAAAACAAGAATCAGATGTTTAACTGACTGTGCCACTCAGGCACCCCAAAAGGTTTTATTTTGTAAAGAGTCATGCTCTATCAACTTAAATATCATAAAATGAAATCTCAATATGATATAGTACATCACAGCACTAATAACATTTTGCAACTTGCTAAGAGAAACTACATAAACACAAGGAAGGAGGGATGCCTTCTATAACAAGGTATGAGTTAATTTAAAAATAAGACATTTATAAGAAAAAGCAAAAAAAAAAAAAATAAACCAAAACCCCTCCTAATCACCAAAATACATGCCATTGTTTTTCATGGTACTCATGTGAAAACGTTTAAAGCTGTCAAGGTATGTCAAAAGTTTGCAGGAAATGAGGCCATAGTAAGTCTCAAACAGGGTACATTCTTTCCCAATGCTAATTTCCTTCCACGCCAGGGGCATTTCAGCATCTGTAGTTTCTGAGGACGTAAAAATGAACTTATAGCAACATCTGTTGTATCTGATGTGCTTTTTCCCAGAAAACCTTGAACTGTGGATGGGTATAAGGCCAATGGCCTTAGCACAAATCCCTACAAACACATCAGCAGGAACCATAATGGGTACTTCTTTGAAAACCACATACATCATCCGAGCCACATCTTGGGACATAATGAAGGCCTCACGGCTGCAGTAATCTGGGTAATACTTTTCTGGGTACTCGCTAAAAGGAACAAATTCTTGATTATTGGGGTCTCTGTTGGGTGTATCCTGATGGATAACTCTTCCTAAATAGATATCCTCAAAGTGTTCTTTCAGATTGAGAAGATAGTCTACCACGCTTGGTAGATTGACAAACATCTCTTCATCAACCTTGAGAATGAATAGGGCATTAGGGCAGAAAGTCACAGCCCATTGCATCATTGTGATGATCTTCAGGGTTTGGTTCTCAGAACTGTCCAAGAAGATTCCTTCAATTATATCATTATTCTTATGGGACTCTTTGTCTATCTCTCGCTGGGTAGTTACCAAAACAGGCATTCCCAAAGCAAACAGTGTGAGAATGTGGTGCCCTTGGACACTGGTCACGTTACCCCAGGTTTTCCTGATGAGGTCCCGCCTTGTTCCATTTCCTGGGCTACTGAAGATAAGAGAGAGTAAAAATATATTCTTCCCTTTACACACCTCCGACTGGCTCAGGATATAATACTTGGAAATATTACTTCTTAGGGGTTCCACGTTCAATTTTCTTGCCTTATCCTTTATTTCAAGAACTTTCATATCTACATAAGGCAAAGTGTGCAGAAAGTATTCTTCCATAAAATCAGCCCCAAAAAGCAAGGCATGAAATAGGATAACATTAAATAGAATGAAACACCACTGGTGAGTCCGGAGTCTGCAGAATGTCACCTAAATAAGAAGAAAACACATGATCATTCAAATTTCATCTCTATTCTTGTTTTTGCCCCCACCGAATGCTATAAGTACTTCTTACAGCACTTAGAAGTACACTGTTTTAGGGGTTTCTAATTTATTTTTTTATATGTCTCTCCCACTATATCATGGCCCCTTGGACAGGTGGTTTCCTGCCTCTCTCTTCTCCAGTGCTGCAGAGTTTAGTGTTCAGTATGAAGTAGGAACTGAATAAAATGTTAGTTGGTTGTTTTCTTCCTCTTTTGGATGAAAGCCTACTTACTATATGCAAGGCACTGTGTTAGACACTGGAGAAGCAACGAGGAATCAGACGTAGACACATGGATACAAAGCAGCAAGTGGCATTATTGTGCTAAAAACCTATAGGAAAGTATATGATGTTCTTTCTGGAACTGAAGCACTTGGATCAGTTTCCTCTCTAATTATAAAGGTCAAGGGCTAATTTTCCATGAAATAGTTGCTTTTGTTGGCCAGTGAACAATGCTATTATCAAACATTTACATCCTTCTAGTATGACTTTCCAATTTAATCTAATACTGAATTCTGACACTGTCTTGTTTTGGCAATGTCCCCTAATCCATCTGACACATCTATCAATATGGACAAATTCCCTCTAGCTGCATAGCACCCCTTCGGAGATCTAGGATGGACCTGTGCCAAGTTTACTCCACATCATCAAAGAGATGGAAACTTTCCATCTGGAAGGTAAATACAGTATTGTAACATAACAGAGAAAGGGAACATTAAAGGAATTAAATTTCTACTGGAGCTTCGATTGACAAAGCTTCTCATAACAGTAACCTCTTATTGAGCACTTGCAGTGTGCCAGGCACTGTGCTAAGCCCTTTACATGCCTTAATTCATTTAGCCCTGGTAATATCCTTTTCAGGTTATCTTCAAAATTAAGGTAAGCATCCAAGTTTCATAACTTGCCAAAGATCACTCAATGGGTAAGTACAAAGGGTAGGGCCATGATTTAAATTCAAGTCTGTGAAATTCCAAAGCTCACTCTTAACGACCGAGAATCCTGACTCTCATCTTTTCCTTCTCTGTGCCCACTGAATTGGAAAAGAACAACAAAACAAAATGAATCCCTGCAATTATAATCTGAACTCCTTTCCATTTTCTCAATGCTGATGATTTGCACAGAGAAGATTTTAATAGATATCAAATGCTTCAAAGATTTAAGAAGCTTACCTGCATGTTATCTGTAAGCAGTTTCAGGGCTTTGGAAATTATTGAGTCCAGATGCCAAATGATGCCCAAATGTAGCTCAGCATCATTCCAGTCTAACAGCAATTGAAGTAAAGTACTTTGTGCCTGAGACTTTAAGGATAAAGTTTCTTCCTAATCAACCTGAGCTTTTGTCCCAGAATACCTGCTGGCTCCATAGGAAAGCAAGTGCAGATTATGTTACAGCTAGAGTGAATCCAGAACAAAGAACAGAGAACACAAACCTATTCAAATGCTCCCAACCGTGTGTACCTCTTGAAACTGACCCCTTGCCTTTATGCTGAATTCCTGGTGAAGTAAGTGTGGGAGTTGAAAGAGCAGTTCACCTACATCACCCCTCCACATATCATCACACAAGGAGAAATGTCAAACAGTCAGTTTTGGAGTGCTCTCAAGAAACTAAACAATTGGAATAGTTCCTGCTCCCTGGTATATGCACATGCAAGACATATACTAAACATCAAGGAATATTGTCATCTCTAATGGGTGCATTTTTTTCTCCCAAAAGAAACATCATATGGTGAGGTTTGGTTTATGTTTGCCATTTTCCTAGGGCATGAATGTGTAGGAATTATTCCAAACACTGTTTCTACCAGCAAGTTGAAGAAAAACAACACTCAGCATATTTTCATGTTCTTGTCATATAAGCAGTTGTATTGAGCATTCTGTTTTCAGGCAGGGCTATATTTCATCTTTGTCTTTTCACATGTTGATCTTCCTGCCTGCTACTCACAGCATTTTTTTGGTAATTGTTTAGCTAGGAAAATCTCATTACATTCAAAGTTGGCTATGTTTTCTCAACCACTGTCATGTAATCTTGGAAATTTTTACGAAGTGGGAAAATCTAACCTAAAAAAATGCAAGTGAAAGGAAATTTTTTTTTATTTTTTTTAAAGATTTTATTTATTCATCTGAGACACAGAGATACAGAGAGAGAGAGAGAGCATGAGCAGGGAGAGAGGCAGAGGGAGAGGGAGAAGCAGGCTCCCTGCTGAGCCAGGGGCCCGATGTGGGGCTCGATTCCAGGACCCTGGGATCATGACCTGAGCCAAAGGCAGATGCTTAACCATCTGAGCCACCCAGGCGCCCTGAAAGGAAATTTTTTATACATTCTAAGTTTAACAATTAAATAGGTCTTGTATTTAATTAAATACAAATCCTATTTTGCAATTTTCATTTCTCCACTATAAATTTTGTTCCCAGATCTCCTCTTGGCTTCAACTTAGACAGTTTGGTTTCTTTGTCCATGGGAAGGTCAAACACCATTATCTCCAGGCAGCTCTATCTGGGATTTTCAGTTTGATTCATCAAACTCCTACCTCATTGGGGTTGAGACACATAGGGGTGCTTGGTTTTCTTAATTATCTTGGCATTGCCTTCCCTTTCATAGAGGTTATCCTATCTGTATACCCCTGTCTTCCTAAATTTTCTTATAGTGTTGTCATCAGTCACCCTTTGGCTACAGAGGCTTCCTTTTGCTCTCCCGAGACCTGACTTTCAAGACATCATACTTGACTTCTACCTCAAGTAGTCAAATTTTTATTTCCCATGTTTCAAGTACTTTAGATGAACGCAGGATGCTTGGACCCTTGGTCATTCTCCACCACTAACTGGATATGTGACTGTCTTATGGTCTATATAATGTGCTATCTCTTGGACCAGTGTGTTCAACAGGGTAGCCATTAGCCACATGTGGCTATTTAAATTAATTAAAATTGTATTTCCTCAGTCATATTAGGCATTTTCAAGTGTTCAATAGTCGCAAGAGGCTAGTGGCTGCCCTATTAGACGATGCAAATAGAGAATATCATTGCTGAAAATCCTATCGGATGGTGCTGGTATAAGATACGAGTGTGTGTATGCGGTTTATGAGCCTCTACAGAGAGACAAGGAGAATTTGTGCTCTGAAGGGGGCCTGGGTTGAAATCCTATGATAGCCAGTTACTAAGACTTTAGGCAAGATGCCTTTTGACCTTGGTTTCCCTAGCTCTAAAAACAGAGCTAATAATAGTAACTACCGTATAGGGCTGTTGTGGGAATTGAGCGCGGTGACATAAAGTGATCAGGATAGTGCCTGGCACATAGGATGCACAGTTTTAGTTCTTTGACACTTAAAGATTTATGCTTCATCTTTCAGTCCTCGGAAGGATCACAGGAGGAGGGTACTATAACTACTATGCAGAAGAGGGAAATAAATCCAGAGAGGTTAAATAAGTAGGGCATAGGCACAGCCAGAGTGTAAGAGCTGGGATTCGAATCTAGACCACCTGACTGTTCTTTCGTTCACCCATCCCCTCACTTGCTTAATTTTTCTCCTTAGCCCTTTGCTAAGACTTGCACCATACCTTGTTTAGTTATTTATCTGTCTCCTTCCCCCGCTAGGACGTAAATCCCAGGCGGTCGGGTATTTTTGTGCTTTTGGCTCATTAACCCTATCTCCCAGAACAGTGTTTGGGAAATAATAGGTGGCTCAATGGGTTGTTTGACTTTGGACACGTCTCTGAAATTTTCCTCCCTCTCCTCCGTAAGGAGAGGATAAGAAAAAGTGCCACACAGTGCAAGGTCAGATCGGATGAGAGGCATTTGATAACAGCACGGAAATAAGTTTAGAACGAGGCTCTAAGTTGTAGTGCGCATGCTCCCGCTGCCTCCGCGCTCTTCCCCACCCTCCCGCTTCCCTCCGGTGGCCGGGGCCGGAAGTGCACCCGCGCCCGCTGGGCGCCGCGGGCGGAGGGACGCGCGGAGATGACGCAGGCAGCACCGGAAGCCGCTCCCCTGTGAGGTTGCAGACCCCGAGCGGCGGCCGGTGGTCCAGGTTTGTATGTGAGGCGGGGCCGGGCCGAGGAGGGGGCTCTCAGGCGCCCGCGCCTCTGCTGACCAGCCGCGCCTCGGGTCGTTTGTCTTTCTTTCCCTGCAGGCGCCATGGCTGCGGAGCGGACCCGGCCGCTGCGAGGCTCTGGCGGCCCGAGCGCGCCTAGTCGGTGTGAGCCCGGCGCGAGGTCCCGGGCCCCGGGGCGCTCGCTCAGGTCAGTGCTGCGCGGAACACGACTCTGAAAGCAGGGGACCTGGGAGCGACGAACGGGTTGAAGGGATCTGGAGTTAATTTTAGAGATGGGAAAATTGAGTCTCGGAGTTACTGCCTCTTAGTTCCTCAGTTTCCTTAGCTGTGAAATGAGTTAACGATGTCCCAGGGCTGCCATGACTTTGAAAGATGATGAAGTGTGGCGAGGTGGTTTATGAAGTACAAAGCGCTGTATTAATGTGAGGGACTGCGCCATAGTTGTGGGTATGCGATGGAAACAGGTGTGTATGTGGGGTGCCGCTTGCAATACAGATAACAATATTAATGCTAAATAATAATGGTAACTGGCGTTTCTTGGAGGCTTACAGTGTGTCGGGTACTGTGCTAAACGCTTTGCGTGCATTATCCGACTTAATCCTCACAAAAACCCTTGTAGGAAATGCTGTGCGTGGTTGCATTTTTCAAGTGAAGAGATTGGACTTGAGATGGGTGAAGTGATTTCCCCAGGGTCACTCAGCAACAAGTGGAGTTGCAGAGCCTGTATTTAACACTATTTGTATTCTTTCCGAGCTGTTTTTATTTTATCTTAAAACTAAAGGCGGTTTTAAAGTAAATAGTATATTCACCTGGTTTTAAATTCAAGAAAGGGCTCCTTGCACCTATTCCTTAGCTCTCTAGTTTTCTCTGGAGACAACCAGTATTACCAGCTTCTTGAATATTCAGAAGATGCCAGGCATGTGTATGTTTATAAATACACATTTTCTCAAAACCTCTGTACCCTAACTGCTGATAATGTTTGAGAAGGAAGCAGGGAAGGTGAAGCCTCCTCTCCAGCAACAAATGTCTTGCTTTCATTCTTAACTAGGCCAGGTCCTGGTGGAGAAGAGGAAAACACGTATGCGATGTTTTATCCAGAAGGCTGTCTCTAATAAAACCTAGGGGTATAGGTTTTGTTTTGTTTTGGGAGGGTGGGGGCTGGGAAAGATGTTAAGCTGATGCTTCCAGTGGGACTCTGGGAAAGTCACTCTACTTCTTAGGCCATAAATTTCCTCATTTATTAGTTAAGGGCGGGAGTACTGATACTTTCCACGAAGTTCTGATAATCAAATGAAGTAATGTCTATGAGTAGTACTTGAGTCTTTTAAACCAATACAAATATGAGAGTTGCCTAAGGGAACATTGGGAGTTAATGGCAGAACTAGAGACCAAACCCAGACCTCCCATCTTCCAATTTAGGAGTCTTCATCACACCACCCATTTCGGAGCCTTGTGATTGTTAATATTGAGGGCAGAAGGGCAGGTTTAATGTTTAATCTGAATTGGGGGGAAAAGGGCAAGACAGAATGAAGTGTGGATAGAGACAAAAATGCACGTAGTGGGAAATTCTAGCCTCCAGTCAATAACTGCCCTTAATTATAAAGTTAAATCCCAGTAAGCTTGAGCCCTTGAGTTTTTCCTCCATATACTTTAAGCCATTTTAAGGGAAACTTTATGATAAGGATCATAGGGTAGTAAGGGATGTTAGTGGTCTTATCTGTTCCAGCCTTATGGCTACTATAAGCTTTCCTGGCAGGTATTTGTTGTGATAAAACTAACAAAAATACCATGTGAGTTACTTTAGACTGTGTTAAGGATGTCCTTGCCCTATTTCTGATTTTCATAACTCTCACAGTGAGTAATAGCTTCCATTTTACAGATGACCGAACTGAAGTTTAGAAGTTGGTCAGAGTTGCCCATGATCCCACAGGAAGTAGCTGAATCAGTAAAAGATTTAACTGACTCCAGAGCATTTTCATTTACCTCATTCTGCCTCTGTTTCTAACTGTCCTTGACTTTCCCAGCAGTGGGAATCTCATACTGTTCTGGAGACAGCCCTTAAATTATTGGAAAGCTCCTGTTGAATTGAAATCCTGCTTCCTGAAGTTGTTCCATTTGGACCTTGTGCTGCCAGTACATGATATTCCTAGAGGCTCTCTAAAAGGGTTCGTTTTAGATCTGTGACCTTAAGAAAGTTCCCTCCAAGTCAGTTGATTTTTTTAGAAAAGTAAAAACTGGTGTTTTTTTTAATAGTGTCGAGTTGGGGAAAAAATTGTTAGAGATTAAGAGAATAACCTCTCAGAATCTCAGAAATGGCTGAGTTTTTTAATGGTGCTCATTGGAAAGTTTGTCCCATAATCTTGTGTGGTGTCATGAGTACATTAATTTGGCATTCTGTAGGATGTCTCTTAGTTGTTGTCAATGGTGGGAACCTGATAACATTCTCATGGGTATTATAAATTTGCCTTATAGTCATTTAAATAATAATTCAGCTGCTTATAAGAGGAAATAAACCTTTCTGTGATGGATGTGTGGATACTTGGGTGTGTGTAGGTGTGAGAGAGGAAGTCTTCCACACTTTTTCACTGTAAAAAGTGATTCCTGGGTAGATGTTTTGGTGTATGTTTTTAATTGGCCAGTATTAATTAATTAGCTGTTGTGACATTTTGTGAATGTCCACAGAAAAGGGTTGTTTTGCCTTGCTGTGAGTGGTTTTTTTATAGTAAAAAATTTCCAGAAATGTTAAAAATGTTGTTTGGATGCAGAAGGAGGAGGCTTGTTAGCTTGCTTTGTTGATAAAACTTTTGGTGAACTATTTTTTGGTTGCCAAGTAAATCCTTAAACTAATAAATCCTACCTAGCCCAAACTCAGAGGATTCCAAAGTATTATTTTAAAGTTCATTCACTGTTCCCAAAACCAAACTATGAGATAGGAGATGATATGATTAGAAGGTTTGGTTGCTTTTACTCTTTTGTGTCCAATAACATTCTTGCCAAATTTGGTATTGGGAAATTAATGGAAATGATTTTTACTGACCTACATGAACAAAGTTGGAAGATGAGATCTGGCTTTTGATGTAGACCTGACCTAGAAGACGTATATGGGAAGGAATTTATTTTCCTCTTCCACATTAATTTGGATATAAAGAAAATTAGTATGACAGTCTGGTGGGAGAATAAGTGATCAGATTAGAAGGAAAGATGGTTTTCTTTTTAAATTATGGAAATGTTTAAACATAACGATAATAAAGAGAATAAAAACCCTCCATCACCAGCACTAACATCTGTCAACATATAGCCAACCTTGGGAAAGATGTTTTTACTGATTTGTTTCATTTTTTGTTTTCTTTTCATTAGTTTAGTCCCTTTTGTTAAAAGTGGGTTGATGCTTTGACACAGTATGTAATGCTGTATACTTGTAAGGTTTTTTTTTTGTTCCAGTTAGTCCTGGAGCAATTTGTCATTCTCCTAAAGGAGAAGGTGCTATAATCAGGTAGTTATAGTGCCTCCAGATTTTATGACCAGCTTATGATGCTCCTGGTTGTAGCTGTTGTCAGGGAGAGACAGCTTGATGTGGTCGGAAGAGTACTGATGGTGAGAGCACTGACCTTCAGGCTGTTCTGATGTGATTTTAATGGCTCTGTTGACTACAGGCAAATCACTACCTTATATGACTTTTAATTTTCTCTTCTGCAAAGTGGACATGATGCTACCTGGTTTTTTGGTGTTTTGGAAGCATCAGGATTACTCATTTGACTTATTTGTGCAGGCTTCCTTGACCCTCATTGCTCTGTGTGGCACATGGTTAGGAGTTGTCACCAGCTCATACGAGGCTTATAAAAACTGTGTGAGGCCACGTAAGGCCTATTCATGTTCTAACAGGCAGTGCCATAAAGGAAGTAGAAGAACCAGAATACCTGAGCCACATAACTTATTACATCTGCTTATTTTTCTTCCCTAAACTCTTTTTGCCTGAACATCTATTGAAAAGCCAGTAGTCAGTTTTGTGATTTTGGTAACAGGTCAGGCTGTGCCTAGCATAACTAATATATCCAGTTACTGCTCAGGAGACTTGCCTTCTGGTTGTCACATGCCGGTGCTTATTTTTGTGATTTTAGTACCCAAATAGAGTGTATTAAGGAAATAGTGTTATAATGGTTTTGATGAGGGTGGGGTGGGGAGAAGTATATTATGTAGAATAAACTATTTTATAATGAATGAATACTTTGTAAATCTTTTACTGTGAAGATGCATGTAGCATTTGCTAGACTTCAAAAGGAGCAAGTCACATATACCTACATGAGTCTCACTGACTTGTGTTTCAGAGATCATGATATATTAAAAGTATGTTTTCTCAAATGTATTTTCCTCTGTGTGCATGGAAGATTTTCAAATGCAGTATATTAACTGTAAAGTTGTAGTAACTCAGCATAAAGTTGTAATGCCAAGTTTTTTACACTAATTTTCATTTGTTAGCAGTCTTGCTTGAACAGTCTTTTTGAGCAGAACTAATACAATATTTTGATGTGCCACAGGTAAATTTTTCCATAACCTTATGGAGAGAAAGGACTTTGAGACATGGCTTGATAACATTTCTGTTACATTTCTTTCTCTGACGGACTTGCAGAAAAATGAAACTCTGGATCACCTGATTAGTCTGAGTGGGGCAGTCCAGCTCAGGCATCTCTCCAATAACCTGGAGACTCTCCTCAAGCGGGACTTCCTCAAACTCCTTCCCCTGGAGCTCAGTTTTTATTTGTTAAAATGGCTCGATCCTCAGACTTTACTCACATGCTGCCTCGTCTCTAAACAGTGGAATAAGGTGATAAGTGCCTGTACAGAGGTGTGGCAGACTGCATGTAAAAATTTGGGCTGGCAGATAGATGATTCTGTTCAGGACGCTTTGCACTGGAAGAAGGTTTATTTGAAGGCTATTTTGAGAATGAAGCAGCTGGAGGACCATGAAGCCTTTGAGACCTCATCATTAATTGGACACAGTGCCAGAGTGTATGCACTTTACTATAAAGATGGACTTCTCTGTACAGGTAAGAGATCCTGGAACGGTTTTGTTGTTGTTTTGCATTT